ATCCATTTTTTGTACAAAAAGCAAAATTTGTTTCCAAAGACAGTGGAGCTGATTTTTTTCTGTTAGCATTTGGATAATGAATTAATTTTTCTAAGTATTAGAGTAAATAAAAATAAAATAATTCTCAATAATTTAACAAATCTGCTATTTATAACTCAGTGCTATGTTTATAATCATTGTGTATGTTTATAAAATTTCAACTAAATATAATCAAAATAAATTATCCTTTGCTTAGAATCAATTTCACAGCAGCAAATCACCACAGGTTAAGGGGCGGAGATGTCATGAGGCCATTTTGGGAATAAACAATACTATTGAATGAAAGAAAAGCGAACATAAATGGTAAATGCCAAAGGATATTAATTGCTAATGGGAGCAAAAGGTGAAAAAGAAAATGAATTTATTTTTTCATCGGAAAAGCAATACTTATTTGGGGAAGCAAAAGGGGCCAAATATTAGGTAATCATTCCCAGGATATCAAAGTAATGTTGCTTTGATTACAAAAAAGTTCATAAGAAGATCTTACAAATAATACAAATAGAAAGAAGGGAAATTTATTGTAAAGAATTATTTGTTTGTTTTCCAGTGAAGCGTTAGTAAGGCAAGCTTAATGTAAACTATTTTAAAGTGAGTAATAAAAATAAAAGACATTTATATACAGGAACAATTTAAAGAGAGGTTGGGTATATAAAAGTTGTCATATGATTATCACAGAAACATCTGATCAACAAATCTGCTAGCTGTTGTTGGAAATACAAATACACAGCATTCAAATTAAATAGTCCTTGATTTGAGAAAAATCAATAAGAAAATAAGTCTTTTAGCCACGAAAACAATTCAATAGTTAATGTATCTAAGAGTTCTTGGGTTTTTTTAATTTCATATTTGTAATTTATTTTGCTGCATTCCATTAAGGCAGAATGCCACTGAACCTCAACTGAGATATTTCAGTTGGCCAGTGTAACAAGATTGAGATTTGAAACCAGAAGTGCATTGATGGATAGTATGCATTTTTCTTTTTTAATGGAAGAATTTGAAGTAGAATATCAGTTAAAATATATTTAATCTCCCATTAGAAACAAAGGTGACTCTATTATATCTGATCCAAACAGATGTTTTTTTATTCATATTCTATACTTTGATAATGCGTAGCAAAACATAACAAATATTGAGTCACCATCCAATAAGATACATCAAAATATAGCTTGAGAGTTGTGATATAAATAGTAGTCATTTCCTTGGTAGCTCTTATTAATTTTTTTTAAGATATAAAAATATAAAAACAGAAGATTTTTGTTTCCAGATATATATTTTTATTCATGAGCGGTTTTTGTCAGAAGTCAAGATATGCCCTACTATATGTCCTAAATGCTATCTATTTTACAGTACACTAAATATTATTATTACCTGTAGATACCATGGGACTCCTTTTACATAATGGATTCCAGTTCTCTTACAGAGTTGCAAATGAAAATGTTATCAATGAGCTGAAGAACCTGGAATTAATAACTTTGCAACATTATAACAAATAGGTAGTCCTGATGTTTTGTTCTTATTTTAACATATCGAATATATTTCATTGCTTACATTAGAGTAGCAGATTGAAAACATCTGCTCACTTGCCACTATTCCACCAGCAGCTGAAAATCTTAGATCATTTTCCATAGGCCTATGTGTACCAGGGCTATAATCCAGCTGCTGAGACTTGATATGGGGCCAGATTAATATTCAAGAGCTTTTGAAATGAAAATAATGCTTCTTGCCAAAGATTAGAACAATGATAGACTCCATTTGCTGTTCCCTTCTCTCTGCTCTTCTTTAGCACCCTTCCTAACCTGATTAATTTGCCCCCTCCCATCATCCCCTCCATCCTCTCTTTACAGCTCCATCACCTGTCATGACAATTAAGAAGGATCGTACATCCAGAAATAGTATCTCCTTATCCTGGCAAGAACCCGAACACCCTAATGGGATCATATTGGACTACGAGGTCAAATACTATGAAAAGGTAGGAAGACAATGTGAAAGGGTTGGGTTGTATAGAGAAAGAGGTTCTTTCTCGAGAACTGTACTCACTCTTGCAAAGAAATCAGTACCATTGCTAAGAAGTGATAGAGCTCTGTTTAAAGCTGATGCCATGTGATACTTTTGATTTATTGGTAGAGAGGGGCTTAGAAATTATTGTGTAGAATATCTCCCATTCTACAGTGATAAGCCACAGCAGAGATGTCACTACCAAACCTAAGTCATCTAGTTTGGCAATGGAAATGATATTTATGTCCTTTCACACTAAGTCCTATGCTCTACCAACTATTTTATAGTGATTCCTTAACCTATTGATGAACTATTCTTAATTCATTGCCTTAAGTATCATTATTTGACCTTCACATTCACATGAACTTCATTCACTAGAGATAGGAACATTGGACTAGTAACAAAACCCCTGTAATATTATTGAACTGATGAAGAAAAGCTTTCTTGACTTTGTACAAAGAAATTTAGAAGATGGGAGTAGGTGTATAAGTCTGCCTCACATCATAAAATTGTGATTCAGCAATGAAATTATAAAAAACATAGGTACATGGTGATTTATAAGTAGAATTTAGGCCATGATATTTCATCAATAAATAGCACTTATTCCTCTCTGGTTATGAATTATGGTGAGGTTTGAAAGCAAGATGAATTCAAACCTTATCATCAGAGAAAAATGGTTCTATAGCTATTAATGTGAACACAACATATTTGTGTATCTATTTATAATAGTTTACAAAATATTTTAAAGTGAATTAAAAATAAATCATGGATATTGAATTTGAGTTGAAAGAAGTGAGTCTGGTCTCATAATGGAGGGCCATGATCCAAAGGAACCAGAGCAGTGGAGAGAAAACTGTTTATTGGTGACCTGAGCTTTGAAACTATAGATGATAGTTTAAGAGAACATTTTAAAAAATGAGGCACACTTACGAATTGTGTGATAATGAGTGACCCCAAACAAAACGTCCCAGGGGCTTTGGTTTTGTGACTTATTCTTGTGTTGAAGAGGTAGATGAACATTCGATGACCCAGTGTGGTGCTGTCAAATACTCATCGATCATGATCTTCTGATTTTAAAAGCGTGACAAGATAACCTGTGCAAATGTAAGACTTTATGTTATAGATGACACAACACAATACAAAGAAAATTAATGATGTGACTCATTTCAGACGGGATAACAGAACCAGAAAACACTCATCCTTTAGATCTATTGGGCTGATTCAAAAATACAATTAAGCTACATTCATATTTTTTACAAACATAAATTTTCTGTACTTATTTCAAAATCTCCCAACAAAGCACAATATGCATCCTTATTTTTAAACAAAATTAATCATTGCAGGAAAAGAAATGACAATCTATTTTTATTCCCTAAACATTTTAAAATTTGATACATACATATATGTGATATTATTTAAATATGTATTTATACAAATATTTGTATTGTACATAGAAAAATGTAAAAATTATTTCCAAATATATATGTAATGCTTAGAAATATTGCGAATCTTTCACTAGATTTTAAGCTCTATGAAGTCTATCTCTTTTGACTGTCTAGTTTAGTAATGATGATAAACAGAGCTTAGTTCTGGGTATATGCTCAATATTTTCTTTAACAAATGAAATGTTTTCTGTAAAGTAAATATACCTAACCCCCATCAATATTTAATATTTTAACTCAAAAGCTATCTAATACATAACCAGAATCTTTAACCAAAAAGCATCTGTAACCTACGACCTTTTTTCTGCCATGTTCTACCTAGTTTTGGTTGATGATGTGCATTATTTCATATAATCTATTCCGGACTCCATCCCAGGTACAGGGACATTCCACTATTGCTCAAAATCAGGTAACCCTTGAAGTGCTCAGTATATATTAATGAACATTAGAGGAAAAACACAATTCTATGTTAATCTAATTTTTGTGGACAAGGCTCGACACAAAAAAACTTTACTACTAATGTATAAAGTGAATCTCAGTGTACAATGTGAATCTCTGAGGAGGTTCTTTTAGAGAAATATTTTTAGACTTTGATCTGGAGATTTTTGTCTCTATTAAACCACTGTGACTTAAATACAATGCAAATTTAGTTGATGGTGAGAAAGTTAATAATGTACAGCCACATACAGAATCTTCATCTTTTTAAGTTAAATGTTTTACAATTAATAGAATATTTTCTACCTGAGAAAGAATATGGCAATCATTAGGTTTAATTCAAAGGAGTATATTCCTCTTTGTAAATTAATTCTTTTAATTAGGTTGAAGCTTTCAGCCTTGGCTTTGAAGAGAACAGATTTTTGCTCAGATATTCACTAATCAGAAGGAATGAAAACTAACTTTTTCTGCTTTATGTGCAGGGCGCAAATTAATATATCCAAATTAGGAAACTCTGTAAATATTTTTATCTTAAAAAAATGTCTTTAAAGAGTGGAATGATTATTATGTCTCTTATCTGTCATATGCTCTGTGTTAAAATTTAAAATTGTTTTGAGTGGTTCACTTTTATTACCACTTGATACATTATACAGATTTTATGTTAACATGATTTTTCTTATCTCAAAGCAGGAACAAGAGACAAGTTACACTATTCTGAGGGCAAGAGGCACGAATGTTACCATCAGTAGCCTCAAGCCTGACACTACATATGTATTCCAAATCCGAGCCCGAACCGCAGCTGGATACGGGACCAACAGCCGCAAGTTTGAGTTTGAAACTAGTCCAGACTGTATGTATTATTTTAATGTAGAGTATGTGGGGGAGGAAGGGGGGCTCTTGTAAAAAGTGTCTGATAATTTATTCTTACTCTAAGTTTTAACTAAGTATGATACACTGAAAGTATATTGCTTGAGACGTTTAACAATTTGCATAGCATTGCGTCTGGGCATTTGTGTTTGTATAGATGTACATGTGTTGTTATTTTATGTTTTTTATTTAACAAATCAAACATATTCTAATGCCTGGAATTCTTCTGATTTTCTATTAGTCCTAAATTGCTTTCAGGAATATTGTTTAGTATGGTACCACACTTCCAGTACCTGTTAATACGGATATTCCAGGTCCATTGACTGATTCAGTGAATTACAAAAAAGAAATTTGCTAATTCATTAGGATTCTAATTTTCTTTTAATTCTCAACACAATCAACCTTATATCACTTAGAGATTAAAGATTTTTCTAAATCCTAATTTATCACCTCATTAAAATTCACAAACTATTTTAATAGCTCCATCTGTTTGACCCAAAATTTGGATAAAATTTGTCTAAAATTGGTCTAAATATTTTCCCAATAACATTTTTCTGCAAAATCATGACTGTGGCCCTAATATAAAATGAACACGAGTTAAAGATTTTATTTAACTTATTAATTAATTAATGAGACTAGTAAGAGATTAAAATTGATGTAAAGGGAAATTTAAACATATATACATATATATACACACACACATGTACAAACGTGTGTACGTATAATCAGGAATACTTAAATAAATTTGCTAGTAGATTGCAAAATGGTTAATATCTTATAATAAATTATAAAAAATAAATGTAACAATTGGAGTCAAGTCTTCTACAGTACATATCAATTATGTCTCTATCTTCACTTTCTACTCTTAATATGTCATTTTTCTCTGGCACCTATATTTCCTATTTCCTAAATATTTTGTTCATTATATAAATATATATTGTATTGGTATGGTAATATTTTTATGACCTAATAGAAACATTCAGGATGACCAAAAAATTATAAAAATGGCTTAAGTTACTCTGATAGAGTATATATTTTTTGGCACACTTTTTGTCAGACAATTAGATATGCTGCTTACAATAACAAGTTGTACATTCTGCAAGCTATTGAGATTCTAATGTTCTCAGAAGTCATCGGCTCACAGCTTAAACCTGACAATTCTGCTTGGAAGAGAGCTGCCATCCTCAGTACACAAATCTATACTCCAGCCCTCTCCTAATCCTCCTTCATGGAATGAGCATGAAAAAAACCACTCTCTGAGGACACAAGAAATGAAATGCTATAAATACCATGATAGTCACGTGAAAAATGGTTAAAACAAATTTAAAATTTTAAGTAACAAAATAACAAAATATAATTGCAATTTAACATTAATAATTCTAAATCTTTTTTTATAAATTAAGTGGTGCAAAGAAAATTTCTTATTTTGAAATGATTGTAGACTGTCTTTTTTCAAACTTTTAAATAGTTTTTAGAATTAACAAACAAAAGCTATATTTGATTTACCATGAATGATTTCAAATCACAGATATAGAAAAAGCAAATGTTTATTATATCCTGTGGTATAAATTAGGCATATTAAGGGCAAGAAAGTCAGATCACCATTAGATAAACATTATATGGATGCATATTTTGGAACATCAATCTAATCTTGCATATTCTTAATTAGCATTAATTCTATCTGATAAGTAAATTTGTAACAACAAAAAATTCCAAAATTCTAATGTGATTCCAAATTTACCACAGATATTATTGTGGTAGTTATACATAAACTTCTAATGAGGCTTCAGTATCTGAGACTTAAATGTTCCATTTAAAAACAGCAGATTCTTGAGATTTTTGCCAAATGTGTTTTATATTTTCAATACATCCTTTGATCAAGAGAGAGCAGAAGAGAGGATAAGAAGAAAAAATATGAGCTTTTTAACATCACCCTCTCCCTTTATTAAAAAAGTTGAGTCGCGCAGTTTGATTCTTTTTTAAATCAATTTACTCTTATTGCTTTACCATAGAATTCTTCTAAACTTTAAATATAGATGAGGGGGAAAGGTGCATATTATCTTAAGGGGAAAAGGACAAAATCAATTCTCACTCCATTTTTAAAAATCAAAATGATATACAGTTGACCCTTGAATAGCTTGGTGGTTAGGGGTGCAGACCACCTGCACAGTTGAAAATCCACATATAATTTAAATCAGCACTCTGCGTGGGCAAATTCCCAAATGCAAATAGAAAATACATATTCAGAAAAACTCTAAGGTTTTAAGACTCGTTTTTGTTATATATCGATATTTAATCGATGAAAAAGACTTGTGTTTAGATTTCTTTAACAGTTTGCTGTTTATATATATTTTTTTATTTTATGAAAAGTTCTCACTTATAACACATGTAAACATTTCTTAGTCGAGTACAGCGTACTTTGAGCTGGAGTTCAGATAATATTTTCTGATCTTGGTTTATAGCAAAGATGCGGAGGCACCGTGAAGCATATATTTTCCTAAAATGTCTTGCTTTTATATATCTGTGTTTTACATCTATTATCATCCTCCTTTCACGGATGAGGAAACTAAGGCATAGAGAAGTCAAGTAAGCTTTCAAAAATCACACAACTAGTAGGAGATGGGTCTGATTCTAGAACCCATATTTTTATATGACAGCGTAATATGGCATTTTTATACACATTTCATTTGATCCTGTTCTTCAAGCTATTCAAATACTATTATTTCATTTTATACATGGCTTATGACAAAAGTTTATTTTTTCTGAGGTCACATGGTTAATAAGTGGGGTCAGTGAGCTTACAGTCTCTAGATTTTGGACTGCTACTGATCCAGTGCTATTATTTTACATATTAAGGAAAAAGATGTTAAACTAAAACTCACAGAAAGCACAGAATGTATAGAAGTCAAAGGGCTTTCCAAGAGTAAAGGCAACATCCACCAAAGCCAGAAGTACCACCAATATGACATGTTTGGGAAAGCAGACAGTCCTACTGTCTGGAAACCCTGAGTGGGCAGAAACTACATCCTCAATAGAGTTTTATGTGATTGATTTATTACTTGTGCTTGTAATATTCTCTGGTATATTAGGTAGTGGTGAGTGTGTGTGTGTGTGTGTGTGTGTGTGTGTGTGTGTGTTTTGTGTTTTGTGTTTAAAAAATAGTACATAATTTGAATATCCAAGGAATTTCAAGAGTAAAAATACGTGGAATAAAGCTGAGACTTGAAATTGAAGGATTCTATTGGATATTACTGTCCAAGAAGATGAGTCCCAGGGAAAATTCAATTAGCACTCCTGAATGCCTCCCACCTCCTTTTCATTGTTTTAATGAGTGAGTGTGCAGCAACCGTAATCTCTTGGATTCTAGTAGGCGACATTAAGGCAGCCTGACAAAGGTAGAATGGAGTCATTATATAGTGAAATTTGTATGATAAAATTAGGCATTCATATATAATTTTATAGAATATAAATACTTTTGCCAGTTTTTCACTGGGAAAATGAAATAATAAATATATATGACATTTATTAAACACATACTATGTGCCTACCACTGTCCTGAATGTTTTACTTTATTAATTCATTTAATCTTCACAAGATCACATTATGTCATACAGCAAATAAGTACAAATCCAGGCATTTTGGTTCAGGAAAATGAACTCCTAACCAGCCTATTTTAGGGAGAGAAAACTGAAAGATGTGTTTAAATGAGAAGTGGCTTGAAACGGGGGAGCAGTAAATTGTTTTTCTATGACATATGATGGATATCGATTTTTAACTAATTAGTAAACAACTCTATAACACACAGTTAATCAATATAATTCATTCAAATATTTGCTCATTTCAGTAACAAGAATCATCCAATTGAGGTATGTGCTTTACATAGCCTCTGGAATTTCTAGACATTTTGAGTTAGAGGAAATTACAGAGAAGTCCTAGTTTAACCATGTCTTTAATGGAAAAAGAAATAGGGACCCTTTTATCTATTATGTTCCCCCTCCCAATTTCATCAATCTTTATTTTATAAACTGGCTAAAATTTACCAGAAGATTCAGAATTTGCTGCTCCTTATGAATTATTATTCTATGTTTATAGACCGTTATTGAATCACCATGTTGGGTTATTTTTACAACCTATTTACAGATCTATAGCCAGTGGATAAGGATGTACCAGTTCAGTTCTTCTAGGAAATAGATATTAAGATAGAATTACAAGAGCTTTATAGAGGAAATACAGATAAAAGATAAGGAAGAGAGGAGCAGAAGTGGGCAGGCAGCACCTCAGACTGAGACGAAGTTCAGCCACCCACGAAGAGATGGAGAGAAAGAACAGAAATGAGGAGGACAAGCTTCAGACAGCAGTGCAGTTCTGAGGGTCTTGCTAATCTGATTGGGGTTTCCAGAGTGAAGACTGGCCCTAGGAGAGCCCTGCATTGGGCAGACACGGGCCGGCTCCAGTTCCCTTGCCATGTTTAGTAACTGAGGAGAATGTGGCTTGTGCATTAGACCGCAGTGGATCCTGAAGGAGAAGCAGCTGGAGGCTGTCTGCCTACTGCAGGCTTGGCAGCAGAGATCTGAGCAGGCACTCCCATGACTGCCACAATGGTATAAACAATAGTTTGCTGGGAGTAAAGAATAAAGTACGGCAACAGTTTATATAAAGAGTGCGCATGCCATCCTGCATATCTGAGCTTTTTTTTTCAGATGCTGAGAAAATGTCTAACAGTCTTTCTGCCGTGTTACTATATTTGCATCCTTTAACTAGTCCTAAAACTGCATTATTTTAGAGAAAACCTTTCAAACGTAGATTTCGACCAGATTGAAGATGTGACATTGGCTTCTGGAGAGCTAATAGTATTCAAATAACCAAATTTATTCTTCTAAACTCTTCTTTTGGTATATCAGTCATTCACGTGTTCCATCAGCATTTATCATGAAAGAATTACATGTTAAAGTAAGAGCAAATGAAAGAGTTATCCCAGGAACTACGTTTATTTTAGAAAGTCTAGAGATTAGGGTATTTATAGTTTGTTAGCAGATGAAGCTGAAGATTTAGACAGGAGACAGACTTTAAGGGGCTTTATATGTTCTGCTATAGAACATATTATCCTGAAAGTAATGGAGAGCCCCGCAAAAATTTATGCATGAGAATAACATGATCAAATTTATGGTTTAGAAAGAAGACTCTGGTGACCAGTTAAAAGGAAAGGCACGTAAATCGAGAATAATTAGGAATTTCTAATTGTAATCCAGAAGAGAAATAAAGATATAAACTAAGATATTATAAAGGGCTTAGTGATTAATCAGATATAGACTGATCAAGAGAGGAAGAGTTCAAGGTGACTTCATAATTATGGTCTACATCCTCGCTGCCAAAATGTTGGAGTCTGGAATCAGCTGCATCAGCATCACTGGGAGCTCAGAAGAAACGCACAATCTCATCCCCTACTCCAGACCCACTGAATCAGAAACTGCTGTCCAAAAGATACTCGAGTGGTTTCTATGAACATTAAAGTTAGAGAAGTATCTGTCTATGTCAAGGGTCAGTAAACTTTTCCTCTAAAGGGCAAGATAATAAATATTTTAGCCTTTGTGTACATGAAGTCCCTGGTTCTCGTACTCTACTTGGCTATTTGTTATAGTCTTAAGGCAGCCGTAGACAATACACAAATAAATGTGTTCCAATACAATTTTATTTATGAACACCGAAAATTTTAATTTTGTATAATTTTCATGTCACAAAATCCTCTTGTTTTGACTTTTTAGGATCATTAAAAATGTAAAACCATTCTAAGCTCCTGAGCTATACAGAAACTGAGGGCAGGCCAGATTTGGCTACTGGGCCATTTTTGTCAATACTTTGTAGATGTTGGGCCATTTACAAAGGTAGGAAATACTGGGAGAGGAACAACTCATTTACGGTATATGTTGAGACTCATAGTACAGATGTTATACCACCTTTTAAATGAATGTAGATATTGGAGACTAAACCAGCTTATTTAGAAAGCTTTTATAATTTCATTATAGGAAATCTAACCTGTTCTCCATGTTCCTCTGCTAACTTCTACTTTATCCGTTGAGCTTCTTGCCAGTGAGGATAGAGGAAGCTAGTCCAGTATGTAGTAGTCTTTGATTGTTGCCATTGAAACAGAATATTTAATCTTATTAATTAGAAATTTCATGCAAAATTATAGGAAGTACTTTTTTAACTCAGTAAAGAATTATTTTTTATATTTTATCAGGCAGTAAGCCATATTTCAGGTAAAAGTATAATAAATGTAACTTAATTTGTCAGATTTTTCATGTAAATGTTAGTTACGATGTGTGAATGCCTGGTCTTTTTAAATTTTTTATCTCTTCAACCTCACAGCTTTCTCTATCTCTGGTGAAAATAGCCAAGTAGTAATGATTGCCATTTCAGCGGCAGTAGCAATTATTCTCCTCACAGTCGTCACCTACGTTTTGATTGGGAGGTGAGTCCACAGTCTGTTTTATGACTTACTTTCATAATTGCTTCGCTTGCTACTCCTCCCCCACCCCCGCTCACTGCTGCTGAAATATGAAAGTGTGGCCAGTAATGTTAAGAATGTCTCCATTGATATTCTAGGTCTCTTTTTCCCCTTCCTTTCATTTCATCTTTAGCTTTGATTTTCTTTTTTTACATTAAATTCCCCCACCCCTACCCCCGCCGCCTCTAACACACACCTCTTCCCTGTTTTAACTTCACTCCTGGCTTTTACTTTCTTTTTCCAATTATCCCTTCACTCTTTAAATACACCTCAGATTTCCTGGGCTCTTTCTCACCCTAAACACTGGTAACACTGCACAGCACTAACCACTAACAATGGAGACTGTACCCTTCATTCATTCTAACAGCAGTTGTTAAAAAATACTATAAACACTTTCTAAGGCCATTATAAAAACTCAACTGAAGGGTTCTGCGCAGTGGGGAAGCAACTCTATGTATCTCCTCATTAAGCAGCTTTCCAGGAGCCTCAGAGAAAGAGGCTTTCTACAGAAAATTTAGAAAATATGAAGTCATTAAACTTTCACTAAAGCATTTAATTGTTTGAGGAAAATGCTCTATTTTTGTGTGTGTGCTTTGCACATTGTGAGCATAGATAATTATTTCAAGTATATATTTTTTTCTGTGTTCTCTTCCCTTAATTTACCTCTAGGTTCTGTGGCTATAACAAGTCAAAACATGGTCCAGATGAAAAAAGACTTCATTTTGGGAATGGACATTGTAAGTTTCTAAACTGTATTGGTGTTTTGGTTTTAACACTAGTTTTAGCAGTGGTTGATTTATAATTGGATAACTTTCCCTAACAAAGAGAATCCAATTCAAAAGTAGTTCTAGAAATAAAATAAATAAA